AAGAGACTTCTAACCACAGGATAAGTTCTCAAAGACTCTCTGACGGCTCACTGGAGCTACTAGGCCAGTTCCACAAAAGGTCTTTAAAAGAATATTGATAACTTGCAGGTACTAATGAGGTGACAAAGTAGAGTTGTCCATCTGTAGGCTGTGTTCTTTCTGGCTGCTTCTGTTTCTTTCCTGCACACAGAATAATAGCAAACCCTTTGAGTCTGTGGCCTTTCTTTCCTCAATGGTCATAGAGCCAGGCTTCAAGCCCAGGAAGTGCTCCAGAGTCTGTTGCTGTTAGTTGCCATCAAGTCGATTCTGACTCATGGCAACCCCGTGTTTTACAGAGTACAGCTGTGCTCTATAGGGTTTTATTGGCTGTAATCTTAATGGAAGTAGATTGTCAGGCTTTCTTCTGTAATGCCACTGGGTGGGTTTGAATCGCCTTCTTCTACGTTAGTAGTTGAGCAAAAACCATTTGTGCCACCTGGGGACAGGAAGAGGGGGCTTAATCAGGCTGGGACTAGGTAAGCACTTTGAAGCTCATTTCAAAACCAATTGAACCACTTGAGTTCATAATACAGAGCAAGGGGTGCTAAGAGAGCATTTTTATAGATCGTTGTTAGGTGCTGTTGAGTTGATTCCAACTCATAGCAACCCTATAGGACGGGGTAGAATTGCCCCATAGGGTTTCCTAGGCTGTAAACTTTATGCGAGCAGACTGCCACATCTTTTGCCTGCAGGGCAGCTGGTGGGTTCAAACCACTGATCTTTCAGTTAGCAGCTGAGTGCCTAACCATTGAGCCACCAGGGCTCCTTTTTCATAGATCACTGACTATCAAATAGCTATCCTCCTGTTCCCTTTTTATATGAGGCCCTTCTTGGGCTGAGAAGGTGTCTGGAAACCAGGATCAGTTCTGGTCAGGACCAGGAGGGTGCCAGCTCTCCCACTATTTGACCCTCTTGGCGTCTGTGCCCCTCCCCAGGGTTGGGCATGCAAGGTACCCTCTGGCTGACACCCAGCTTGCCTCCTGGGCTGGCTCAGAAGTACACAGAGCCTCTACCACCCTGAGATTCAGTGATCAGTGCCACCTTGCAGAAATGCCCACTCAGGAGAGAATTAACCTCCCAGACATTTTTACTTTTGCAGGCAGTAAGCCTGGATCCCCATCTCACACACTTACATTCCACTGAAAGGCTTCCTCCTGGAATGAAACCAGCTTCCCTCCCATCCCGCATTCCTCTGTCCAGCCCCACCAGACCACTCCCCACTTCTCCAGGTGTGCCTTTCCTTCCATGCCTTGTCCATACCCTTTCCACCCTCAAAGACGTGCTCCTTGACCCCACCTCTTAGGCAGATATGGCGTTTCCACCCTCTGGGTGCCCTTTCCACTCAGCCCATGCCTTATTATAACACACGTAGCAGAAAATTGGGCAGAAACACCTGTTGCAAAAATAACTGTATATTCTAGGCTATAGGCTCATCCCAGGGGATATGGGGAGCTGCCTCCCATCCCAGCTCCCAAAAGTATGGCTTTGTGTCCAGAAAGTCTGGGCTTCCTTTTTTCTGCAGGGAAGACAGT